CGCTCCCTGCTATCACTGTCTAGCCAAAATTTGATGGACCATAAACACACAAGGAAAGTGCAGCTTACCCCCCAGGACAGAGGAGCACCAACGAAAGGAAATGGCCTGAAATCTCCAAGTGAAATGGTGCTTGTACGATGTGTGTGACGATCAAAGATGAGATAGACACAACAACTCCACTCATAAAGAGCAACTTCTGGTTATCACTGGGACCCTGCCAGCTTTCCCTCCTCATTGCTGACAAATCCCAAACAAGAGCCAGTCACAGAGCTCTTCACTCTCTTCCCCTGGGGAGGATCTACCCCTCCAGAGCACATTTGTCTAAACCCTTAAATTGTAACTCTTCACTCCTTTAGAGTCCAAAGCCAAACTTTAGCAGGACTGAAAAGTACAGATTTCCTAACTTCCTACTGGGTATTTGCTGTGTGCTTTGAACCAGCAAACTACTGAAAAATGGGTGTTTCAACTACATGAATTATTGCCGAATTATGAAACATGTTATCCAATTTTTCTGTCACCAATGACTGTAAACACGACATTTGCAATAATGAGGGAATTTGGTCCCATAATTGGAGGGAGCGGAAACGTAGAGCCAACAATTTATTAAAAAAAAAAAAAAAAAAGGACCTGCAAAAACCCTACTAACTAGATTTTCAGTAAAGTATGTGCAACAGGTTTTATTGGTGCTTGTTAGCAATGACCTGCATATGTCATTTGTATGAGTATGGCCCTATCAGATCCATGGTGATGAGACACATTTCACCACACTGCCCCTTCTATAGACTCTATTTATACACGAGGATGAATGAATTGACAAGACAAGAGGTGCGGCATATAGATTTGATATACTGGCATAAATTTAGGATGATCTACATTATTCATAAGTACTGAAGCCACAAATGAGATATGTAACAACATCCAAAATGAGTGTCAATAGAATCTGTTCCCGCAGCGCACCATCGTATATTCCTATCTGTCACATATTCCTTAGAAATTTCTCCTTCTAAGAAATCTGGTGTGCTCAGTCTGGAAAGCAACGTTGCCTTGGGATCTGTGATAAGGCTTGCCTGGAAGAATAGGCTTTCAGAAAACTGTCTGAAAAGGAAGTGGACAAAAAACACGAAGAATTTCCTGCTACCGAATTATTGCCTCTTTTTCCAACACAGCTGTGTCTCAGTAGGGGACCCAAAAGTTATTTGGATCAGAGCAACTTCTTGGTGTCTTAAAAACGGCAAAATCAAAACTAAACCAATTGAAATATCACCAGTCCAGCAGGCAACAGATATGACAGAACTGACAAATAAACTAATCCCAGTCTATTTTTACAGACTGATGAGGCTGAGGGATGCAAGTGTACACTTTGGAAAACACATATGAGCTAAAACATCACATATTTTGACACTCACTTGTCATTACTGTACATTTTTAAAAGGTTTAATTTATTACAAGTGCACAGTACATGATTTGACTATTCTCTTTATTGCCATAATATCTCAGACACAAAACTGTGTGCCTGAATAAAATCTATTTATTTTCCAGACAGGTGAAACTGTTCACTGAGTTGTGGTTCTGCAGAAGCCAAGAAATGGAAGGACTGTCCAAAAGAGTGGTATAAAAATATTAAATATTTCATGCCAGATACAAACCAGAAGCTCTCCACAGCAGTCCTTAACCTCACATTTGAGAGGGAACTAAGTGTTTTCACCGGCTAAAAGCTTAGTCTGGATTTCATATGAGTGACCTTGACCTGAAAGATTTTGCTTCCTATCTGAACCATCCAATCACCCACACCTATCTCTCTGTTTAAATAAATACAGAAGTGTTACTGAACCACAAGTCATAAATAAGGTCTTGCCCTGCCAAGTAAAATAAAAAATGCTTACTGTCTTTAATAATTTTAATTTTATAATGTATCAATAGTATTTAGTTTCACAACTAGGAAAATTCTAAGCACATTCTTTAAGATAAAAAATACAAAAATGAAAACTACTTCTGGAAGTATCTACTTTATGGTAACCTTAAAGTAAAGAAAAAAAGGAAAGGTACCTGGAATTTCACTGAAAGTCTCTCCAAGGACGGACACATGGAAAGGCAGATCTTGCTCTTTCAGCTTCATCAGGACTTTAAAGAAAGTTTCAGGATCTTTGTCATGTTCCCTTAAAACAAACAGAAATCATCTCAGCATTGTCTAGAAATTATGGGAGGTTTTTTATTTATCAGAATGCTATTCCTCTAAAACTGTACTTTTGGAGACTAAATTTATTCAAATAATTTCCCTCTTTGCTTCTCCTGCATGGCTGAACATTTTCCTCAGTGCAGCACTTGGGGGTCTAAACTCAGTTTCATCAGTTTCTTCTCCATCTCTTCCCTGTCCTCAAACAATGCATTTACTCTTCAAATTATTAGTTTTGAAAGTGAGAAGGATTGAGCACCTACCTGAAGGCAAAATCAGTTTATAAAATGGGTAGAAAAAAAAAGGGGTTTTTTTCCCCTATCCAAAAAAATATGTATATGACTTCCATTACATTTTTTTTTTTTTTTCAGGAGAAACAGGTTAAACAAAAACTTCTCCTAAACCTACAGGATTTCTCAAATTGGAATTTTAGGAATTCATGCTATACTCATTAAAAGCTTTCAATCCATTCGGTGCTTTAGGTAAAGAAAGGAATAAACTACCACAAGGCATTTTCTACCTTTAGATTTTTAAGGAGTTAACTGTAAATTAAAACAGAATATAAGAAACTTGTAGTTATTTGTAATTTCAGTTGAAGATAATATTAAAGGTTTGTATGGGCCTGACACTCAATGACATGAAACGCAAGTTAGGTTATATAAAAATAAATTAACCCCCCAATTTTCCAGCCTATCTTCTTTACTAGCACAGAATGAAAGGTTCAAAAGGTACCACAAATGATTTAAAATTCCCAAATTCCTTAAGTTATATTAAAAATGGAATGAGATAATTTCCTCACTCTAAGGTGAATATTATATCTTGCATTTAATTACTCTGCTTTAAATTATTGTATTTCAACAGATGTGTACCATATGCCTTTAAAATATTTTGGTTTTATTTATTATTTAGAAAATTCCACCGTTTTCCTTCCTGTATTAAGGAAAAAATCTATATCTCAGCTGTCCTAGTGTCTCTCTTCACAGAGTAATTTTGTAGAATGAAATATGTAGGTCTCACACGAGTATATGAAAAATTAATAATTATATCATTCAGGAAATCTGAAGCCAAATGGCATCTGCAGCTCTACACGTGTTAATTTCTCATTCAGTCAATATTTTTGGTTTAGGGAATTAAAATAAATTAATCTTATAATCAACGTGACTTCCCTAGGCTGAGAAACCTCCAGGAATTGTGGACTTTTCAGAATTAGTCACATTTTCTTAAAATAACGCCAGACAATAATCGCTTTTAGAAGTCCTCCATTGTTTTGTTCCCAATAATAAGGAGGAATGCAACTGCATAAGCCTTGTAATTTGTTTCACATCTGTGAACCAGGAGTTTTCACAGCAATTCCAGCAACCCAAGCACTGGTTTGGAGGGTGGATTTCTCCCAGTTGCAAAGATCTCAGATCTTTGACTATTAGTTTGCTGCATCCTCATGCTTAAAAGAGCCACCTGTTTCTGGTAGGTAACTTCTGTGCAGAAACTTTTGCCAGTATTCAGTTCCCTCCAAATGCCCAGCTCGAAGAGCCAACACGGGATCACATGGATTCGGATTTAGCTGGAAAATAACATCCCTGCTATGAATGCTTGCAAGGAAAACTTCTATGCTGCTGGGAGCTGGTGTAATTCATGACAGAATTTCCCCTGAGCCTCAGTTTTCCCTGGACAGGCTTCTGTGTGTGCTTTGTGATGCCACGAGCCCACCCCGGCTCAGCTCATGTGGCGGACCGGCGCGTCCCCGCGCGCGGAGCCGACAGACTCGACAGCCACGACGCTGACAGGGATCTTTCCAAGCTCTTCACAGCCCTGCTATCAGCTTTGCAGTCACAAAAAGTCCTTCCAGCAAAGGATATGCTTTCCCTCTCGCTTTCCAGAAGAGACCAGGGGTCCCAGAGGCAGCCAAAAGTGGAGGATGCTGTTGGAGCCACATTGTCAAGGAGCTGGCAGGAGAACACGGAGCCTTACAGCTCGGCGAAGCCACATAAGCTGCACATATTTAGGAAAACTGATAGGAATTGGAAGTTGCAGCTTTGTTTAATAGGTGGGGAAGAACAGAAGGAAAATTTGGCACCCAGAAGGAATGCTGAAAGGGGAAACGTTTCCTCTGCACTGGAGCTTCTCTTGCGGGTTTTCTGCTGTAGGTGATCCTCCTTCCACCCCCAGTATAAAATGTTTCCCTTTTAGGTGACACTCCCAGATTTTAATGACATATTTTGTACATTGTGTAGCTTTTCCATTTGGGAGCTCACTCATCTGAAGGGACTTTATCAGTTCCTGTGACTTCTCCACACCACAAGCATTTTATTTTCAGTTAAGACCTCCAGAAACCTCCTGGCCCGTGCACCTACAGGCTGCAGTGTATTATTATTCTTGCAGAATACTGTAGGCATTAGCTGCTCCTGGTAGAAACAAATAAATAGTACAAGACCACTCTTTGCTGCATCAAAAAGGAGAGAGCTCTGTTTCTTGGCTGACATGGAAAAAATCATATACAATCCAGTCTGCCTTACTCAGCAACAACTGCTAAACACACCAGATTGCCATAGCAGTGATCGTGGAAAAAGATGAACACAATATGGAATGTCTGTTCTGTAAAGATCTGCTCAAAATGATGTGCACTTTTGGCTGCATCTGTTGCATTTTTGAGCTTTATTAAACAGTATTAATTATATATACTCCATTTCCTGAAGAAGAACTGCAAAACCATATAAAAGCCTGATATTAAAATGCAAACTTTTCTTTTAAGATATTATGTTTGGGGAAAAATCAATATTATGTGACTCCAGGGTCTGGCTTTGTTGTTTAGTTGAGGTATTTGAAATGCTTTTGTATTTTCACTTGATTTGATATGCATCTGGTAAAGGAAAAATAAGAACTAGGCATGGTATGAAGATGCTCTAAATTTCATCCTAAGAACGTGAAAGCATCAGAATGACCAAACTATAGCTGGAATACCACAAAACAGGCACAGACACCACAGCTGTGCTCAGATTGGAGAGTCCTGCCTCGAAAACATTCAATCTCCATATTCAAATACTACACAGCTCTTGTTGTAATCCAGAATTTTTTATTATTGACTCTAACCCACAATTTAAGAGAGATATCTGAAGTCTCTCCTAGGAACTGGCTGAGGTTTAGTGATCTGGCTAGGGGGTGTGGCCCAGGGTTCATCCTGATTTAGTGACTTCCCTCTGTAATCTGATACAAAACTTTGAGAAATGTCCTTGAACAGGGAATGGGAGTGTGGTGGGAGCAGCACCACCACTACTGAGCCTCCATTATTATCTCCGCCTCAGATTTTCTGCTCATAAAATGGGTGTGACAATATTATTTTTTCACCACAGAAGGATGCTGTCAGGATTAATTGATGACTTGACATCCCACTTTTCAGTCTAAAGTAATTTTAAAAAGCGACGTCAGAACGCTATGATGATGCTCCTCTATACAATCAAAGGCAACATTCTCCAAAACACCCCTCTGCTCTTCAGGGATTTTGGGAATTCATCCTGAGCCCTCGAGCCTTACCCATTGCTGGGACTGGAAGCAGAGTACATGGAGATCACCTAAACTGGAGTTATTCTCACCCACATCCCTAACCAGTGATGTGAAACACATTCTTCAAAAAAAAAAAAAAAAAAGAAAAAATTAAATAGCATAAATTGGCCCTTTACATTATTCAATGAATATTCATCTCTTAAATTTGGGTGAAATTCAGTAAGAGACCCATATGGTCTTCTCTGACTTTAATTTTTTAAGTATATGTAAACTTATCCTACATGGTGATAATCATAGTTATTTAGTATTTGGAGAAAGGCACATCTAGCAATGCAATTAGGAAGTAGAAGAGCTGTGGAAAAGCAGAAGGACTTACTCAAAGGGGAAAAATAAATGCAGTTGATTAAAAATACATATTAAAAGCTGGGGTTAATACCATTATCAGTTAAAAAAAAAAAAGTGCAAAACCAGGGGAAGAAGTCTTAATATTTGAGAAAATATTCTACAAATACCATGTAATGCTTGTGAAAGCCACAGCCCTGTGGTGACATCTCTGTGAATGACAGAATCATTTGGGCTGGAAAGGACTTTGAAGACCATCGAGTCCCACCATTAAGGCGCTACACATTCTGAAAGGGCTACAAAAGCAATATTAAAAGGGTTGATCTTAATCTTAAAACATTTAGCATGGGAGATTTTCAGCGGAAGAGAATCCCAAATTGTGCAGGCACGATTTGTATTTCACTTTGTACAGTGCCTGAAATCCAAGGAGTTCCTCCTGGCTGCAGCTCCTTCTGCCTCCCCTAAAATCACCTTCACATAAGAAGGGCAAAGGTGGGAAATGACACAAAATCCTCAGAAGTTAAAGCAGCACTTTCATTTTATATTGTTTAAAAGTTGTTAGGACGTATAGCAAGAGGTAAAAGATGGATTTCTGCCTGCCTACAATGAATGCTAGAAATTAGCTGATAAAACTGGTCACTGAGAATAGCTCATTATTGATGAAGCTGGGCAGCAGTTGTGGACATCAAGGACTGAAGAGCCAAGAGACATTCTGGGAGAAAAAAAGGGGACAGGGGACATCAGCCAACATGTCTGGAGCAGAGTACAGGGAATGTGTGAGGGGCTGGGCAAGCCCATGAGCACAGAATCAATAATTAAAAATAAAGGATATGAGGTTTCCAAGACACAGACCTTGATGTGGATGACATTGACCCTTTTGTTTTGGGAAAGTGAAGTAATGAGGAGCAAGTCTGGCATCAAACAAGGCAGAGGAACTGGGCAAAGCAAATCAAAGAGTAAGGAAAACACAAGAAGAGAAAACAAATATGGTAAAAACTAAAAAAGTATGTCATATCAAACACAGGGAGGAGAAGGATAATACAGGGTAAAGAGAAGACCTACACACACCCTACAGAACTAAAACCAAGGCTCCACTTCATCCAAACTGAATTTAAAGAACAATATCAGGGATTTTTCCCTCCA